AACCAAATAATTAAAGAAGTGCTTACTTATCCCGGGGCTCAAGGACCTCAATAGTGCATAGTGCCCACCAATGGGACTCGTCTGGGGAATCCTTGGGAACTTCCAGCACAGGGACGAAGACCTAATACGACAAGTACGCCATAACCAAGTTTAGAATATATTCCTGAAACAACATAATCAATTTAGCAAAGTATATAACTTACCGCTCGAATCTGCGGTAGCTTATAGCTAAGAAGAAGTTTGCAATACTTGTCAGCAATGTGCTCTTCTTTTCCTTCATTCAACATTAATCGATTCTACAATTTTTTTGCAATAACCATTAACAACATTCAAGTGTACTTTATGCTATGTATGATTAACAGTAAAACAACCTATTTAAAACGTACCGAATAGCTTGGATCAAGCATAATACGCTTGCTTCTGTTGACAAAGTCCCTGGTGGCCCATTGCTTGTTGTATAGGACGCTGGCCATTCTAACATAATTTGTTGAAACCCGCGACTTATAGTGCACCACTTCATAGCAATCCCTCTGGCTCGCCTCTTGGTGGTCACACTTTATCAACACAGTACCAGGGCTAAGAATCACCAACATAACATCAAATAAGCAGATAATATGATTAGAATGATTGATTAACATTTGCGATTAAGAAAATGGACATTAGTTATAATTTGAACATCATGAAGGGGTACTCAATTACCTGAGTGGATCCTTCTAAAGCTTCCAGTCCTTAACAAACTTGATCAAACGTGCCTCGCACGATGTATGCCTCCTAGTCTTTGCCGCGTTGCTAAACAAGGCTGCCTGTGTAGGCTTCACCACCCTCTTGTCACCACTTTTCTCCCCAATCCCATCACAATCATCTTCCTCATCACATGAAGAGTAGCTTGCAGAAGTACACTGAGCATCAACCAAAACAGTTGTTCCCCTAGTTCCTAACAAACCCACAACTATTTGTGGTCCAGGCTCCATGTCCTCATTTTTTTCATCTTCCAATTCTGCTTCGGAAGCGCTTTGAAACTCTGGCCCCTCCATGGCTCCTGCCCCAACCACACCCTCCTTGGCTTCTGCCCCAATAACACCCTCCTTGGCTGCTGCCCCATCATGACCTCCCTTGGCTTCTGCCCCATCAAGACCTCCCATGGTTTCTGCCCCAACAACACCACCCTGGCTTCTGCCCCAACGATTTCCTTCCCAGGAAGCCCCTCCCCTACTGTTGTTGAACCGATGATTGATATCGATCTAACAACAATCGTTCCACCAGCACTCTCCTCACCAACAGGATTTGTTACTTCCCTAACAACTTCCTTGGGCAGGTTTGCTTTTCTTGTGGCTTTTCCCCGATCAATACCCATACACATCATCCCATAAAACTGACGGAGGACCTCATCACACTTGTTGTCTATAACACCCAGTAGCTTTTGGAGTTACCTTATCAATCACCTAACGAGGAACACAAGTAAAACACATGATACTCAAACTTTGCATTCACATATAAAATCTTATCACCTATTATACAAACAATTTAGACATAACAATAATTAGTAAGTCGTACCTGCTGAGCAACCTGATCCAAATAACAGCCATCTGAAGGGACATCCCGACAGTCCAATGGATGTGGTTCTCCATAAGCAACATCTAGCGACTACAAAATAAAACCACAGAATGTTAACACTCTTCACTTAACTTGAATCTGAAATATTAACCCAAAACAATACAAAAAAGAAATAACTCCCCAGGAGCCGTCCATAGCCCCCTTTCGTGTTTTTTTGTCATCTTTTATAGTTGCATTAATTTTTTCCTGCGACCAAGCCTTCAACCTCGGTCTCATACCCCATGACTCAGGAACACGACTAAGGTGATCAAGATAATAAATATGGTATAATGGACACAAAGATGAAGAATATTTCAATCAGTCCAAGACAAGACACTCAAATGCAACCCAAACTAACACAATACCAACTAAAGACTAACAACTCAATTTAAACTAACAACTCAATTTAACATAACAACTCAATTTATGCAACAGACATTACTTACCAAGACGAATAAAATGCATCCGCCTGATCCAGCAACATATCCATCCTCAACATATTTCTTCTGGAAATTCCTTGAAGCATTACACATCCACATATGCACAAAAGTGCACCAGTCATACTCCGACGATTCATCAAAAGTAAGTAAAGCTGGATATAGCTTCACTCCCAGATTTGTTGTGTTTGTCGTAGCACACAACAAGTAACCCAGTATCACAATAAGAAAAGCAACCTTGAAATTAGGCTTCTCTGCATCTGACAGAGGCAGCACATACCCATCCTTATCCCTAACAATCAATGATCTCAATGCATTGGCAAGTGAAACGCTTTCTCCCTTGGCATAGAGCCCCTTTAATCTCATCACTTCTGCCTGCTTCACCGGATCATCATCAGGAATAGTAGTAGGGACTGCCTTGGACCCCATTGGAATTCCCAGTACACATTGAATTGAAACAGGACTCATGGATTGCACATAGTTATCTCCAAATGCTATGGAGCCATCACCTAATACCCTTGTCAACAACCAATATGAAAATTTGTGTGGCAAAGTCGTTAGAGGAATGCTTAACAAACCTCCAAAACCCATCTCCGTCACAACCTTCTGCCTAGAAGAATCAAACAACCTAACCACAGTAGACACAGCCTTCACACCATTCAGGTTGGGGGCCTACAGCGGTAAGAAAAAACAATAAGCTCAACACATCCATTAACCACATCCAGTCACTACTTTTTACGATGCCTAATTTAACCACTAACTAATTTAGACCCAAATCACCTATATTAAGATAGAAAAAAAAACCTACAAGTTACATGACACAAAACTATGAGCATACCTTCTGCGTTTTTCTTGATTGGGTTTTAATCACCTCCCCTTTCTCGACCACCAACTCCCCCTTGCTCTTCTTTACCTGCCCATACAATACCATTATAAACATTTAATCCTTGATATACTCAATATCACCAATGCAAGCTGTACTTATAAGGAACATGATATAGCCTTAGAAGGAACATAATATAGTTATATAGCCATACCTTTTGCTTCTGCTTTCCTTTACTTTTAACAGAAGGACCTCCCTTCTGCTTTCCAGTTGTTATTTTGCCTGCCAACAACTTCGCCAGCAAAGTCTCCCACAACTCTTTTTTTGAATCAACCTCCTCCACCTCATCTGACTTAGGCTGGTCATCCTCACCTGACTCAGAACCAGACTCACCAGAGGTACCAGAACCACTTTCTTCTGTACCCTCTTCCTCCGTATCTTCTAGTTCCTCACGCTCAAAATCAGGATCAGAAGCCTTCATCTTCTTCTTCCCTTTCGCAATATTTTTCTTTTTAGAGCTCTCATCAGCATCAGATTTTCCTTGTTTTCCCTTCACCAAATCAGATCCATGCTTCCGCTTCATTTATTTGAATCCTGCCATGGATAACATTAATGACCTTTAACTACACCTACCTAAACAGTGCAACAAGAAAAGCATATACTATATCCACATTCAAATAGCACATGCATAAATCAATGACTATTTCTCTTACTTAGTCTTCAATCCATCATCTATACACACAAAAAAAAAAAAAAAAAAAAAAAAAAAAATAAAGCATGTATGCACACAAAATATTGATTTCAATTACAAGGACTACCCTTATAATTATTAAACAATTTAAATTCCCCTTCCAATATCGATACTACAAATCGCACAATCTAACCCAAATTGGTAAACAAAAGAATGCAGAATTATGCAAAAGCCGATGACAAAAGTTAAACATAGTGAGCATGCGTGGGTGAAAGTCATACAACACTACAGTCTGATAAAGTACACAAAAGGGCTAGTTGGTGCCAAATAAATATCAAAGGAAACAACAAAGAACCAGAAACGAATCCCAGGATAAAATATATAATTAAATGACAACCAAAAGAAAACCACATTTCAAATCACCAAAATTCATTTTAACCACAAAATTATACTGGCTTGATTAATCAAAAGCATACACCCCCAAAAACAAAGAACACAACACAGTCACCAATTGATATCCCCATCATATGCCAACAACGGATGATTGTATCAAACAAGGTAATAAAAAACACATAAGGCGACCAATTGGAACCACAATCAACCAAAAAAAACAACAAGCCTTGTAAAATCCATCTTTGAATGGCCTAATCAACACAAAAGAACTTTGCATTCACCAATAATGAAATACCAAAATCAAACAACCTAAACAATAACGCATTTAACTCTGATTACATGTAAAAATAAACAAATAAATATTTCCATTACTTACTTCAATCTTTCATTTTCAATTATTCATTAAATCATGCAAGCACACAATAAAATGGTTACAATTACAGGGACCATCCATATAATTACACAATATCAAATCCTCTCGAAAACCAAAGAACCGTATGTTTAACATGCCACAAATAATTCAGAATCAAACAAAGAAACACTGATAAGAACCTACATCAACCCACCCCTAACAAAGCTAAATCAAACAGCCCACAGTTGCATGAACTCAGTACATTCAACTCGCAAAAAACCCTACTAATATAATTCACTTAATCCAACTCGCATAATTGCTTACTCTACTTTCAATACATAACCAAATTTCAACATAACCACACCGGAAATAAACGATATTTCAATTACTTTAACATAAACCCTAAATCGAATCAATTATACTTCACCGTAACCCTAATTTAAGTAAAAATTCGCAATTTAATTGAAATTCTAACTAATTACCCACTCAAATTACATCTACAAACACATATAATCCTTCATCATTCGAGTAGCGAGATTTTTATCATACCTTTTATAAGCAACACAATTTAATTCTGAATTGGGAACTTCTTTGTCCGGAAACAACCACACTTCGCTGCGCCGGTAAATTGAGCACCAAAACCCTACAATCGCCCTTCGTCGGACTGGAGAAGATGAGAAGACAGAGAGAGGAGTGAAGATGAAGTGAAGAGAGAGAGAGAGAGAAGAGAGGGAAGACGATGAGAACAGAGAGAGAAAATTAAATTTGACTTGCTTTGTAAGATTGCCAAAAACGAGGCCCCGTTACAATTCAAAAAATAACGGAGGCACGTGCAAGGCATGTGATTTTTTATTCCAGCAAACAACAGTTTATTCCTCTTCTGCCCTCCTATATGCTTCCTTCACCCATAGGTGTTATGCGCCCAGACTCCTGAATAACTTCAATTCTTGATTCCTCTAGAGAGAAAAAAATAAATAAATAGAAAAAAAAAAAAATTGTTCTACTGGCAAAGGTTCAGTTGGGGTTTAAGGAAGAAGTAGCCGTAGCAAGCGAGAGAATTTTAGAGGTTGATTGAATATGTGGCAATGGCGGATTTCAAAATTGAGCACCAATTCAAAAGTAAGGAGGTTATCAACTTCACTCAAATCTAAATTTGAAGATGAAGGTTCATGGTCTTATTCTACTCAATGGTGGGGCTCTGATTCTGATCACCATTCTCACTCCGTCTTTCGAGCTACTTCTTCTCATGGAAACGGTGTCGTCTCCGTCCTTGCTTACCCTTCTTCCTTACCTGTTAGTTCATATTCTCTCTCATACAAACAACATTTATTTGCTAATTCTTTTTTGAAAAATTTTGATAAAATTAAAAGGGTTTTGCTATTTGTAACTTTTCTCCCAAGTTGGTGTTATTATTCAGAATATAAAATCACGTGTCGATCAGTGTTGTTAGTGTTTACATTAATGGTTAGTGTGTGGGGTGCGGCGGGGCAAGGCTGTTTATCATTTTCCCGATAAAAATAAAAAGGTTTCATAGGGTTGAGTTATGAATCTTATGATTTGCAACACTGTAATTGGGTAAATGTGTTTTCGGCTGCTTGTCAAAATGAATCTGTTTACAATTGTATATGAATTGAATTTTAATTGATTTAAAATGGGGAATGCAGTATTAGTTTTTATAGTTGTTTGAATTTTGAATGATTTAAAATGGGGAATGCAGTATTGGCTGATTGAATTTTGAATGGTTTGTATAGTTGTTTGATTATAGACCCTTGATCGAAAACTTTAACAGGCTGCAAATCGTTGGCCGAAAACAGAAGAATGGCTTAGGAAAAGATATGCCGAAGTATGTTCTGATGCTAAACATGATGAATGCTTCAAAGTACTTGGTTACCAATGGCGTGTGCTTCGATTTAATGATGTTACACGCCAGAGTGCTGTAAAAGTTATGGCAGCTATAAAAATGTCTGATTCTAGTTCTGTATACTACATGCAGCAACCTCATGTTCTGGCTGTTCCCTGTAAGTGTTGTTCAGCTGAAATTTTTGATATTGTATCTAAATTTGTGCACCCTTACATGTGACTTTAAATTGCAACGCTATGTTTTTTTAATGGCATAGATTCTATGTACCTCAGTTCTAGAGCATTTGTTTTAGCAGCTCGTATTTTTGTTACATAGTGCTCCTCATTATCTTGTGTAGTAGACATTATCTATGCTATTCATGTCCTATATGTGCAGCTATCTTAATATGTCTTCTCATTTGTTGGACATGATTAAGAAAAAGGTCGTGTGTGAATTATTCTCTGTAGATAAAAAGCTGATTTCACTCTTCTTGTAAAAGCTATCTGCCTGTTTGACCTCATATGGGTGCTGAAAAACTTTTGTGTAAGGAAGGTTCGGCTTTTCTTTTGCTTCCTGCTGAAAATAATACCTTATATCTGCTGAAAATAATATCTTACATCTGCTTTATTCGAATGTTGAACGGAATGGGTGGGTGTGTGAAATGTTAAGGAGATATGGGCAAATGGGAGTTAATTGATCATTCTCTCTGCCTCTCGTCCTCTCAGGCAAGGTCTGTACATAGAGTTGATCACCATATGTTTATTGATAGAGTGATAGACACATGTTCAAATGGTTATTTGTAATTTACGTTGTACCTATTATAGTTTTGTTATTGCCAACATAGATTCTTGTAGCTAAACTTCAATCATACCTGTATTCTTGATTAATTGTGCAACAATGCTGTTGGAAATTTTGTATTTTAAAATCCAAACTAATATTATCAGGCATCGTGTCACAATTAAATTATTTTAATTTTTATGTGCATTAAATTGTTCTTTGTATTGCTCCAAGCCTCCAATTATGTAAAACCGGAAAAAAGTTTAGCACATTCATTTAAAATTTTTATCACTAAACTTACACACGCATTCTCAAGTATTTTGTTATAGTTTATTTAAGAGGCAATGAATATTCCCAAAAACTAGGTGATTGATGAACCTCTTAAACTAGGCAACCTACTTTGTGTGTAGATATTCATGGGCCTGATGATTTACTTACGTGTTCCTTTTGAAGATATCTTGTTACATTTTACCTCTGCTCCTCTTTAATAGACCATATATCTATTTTGATGCATCTTGAATTATAGGACACTCTTTATATTACATATTTGGTTAGTTATAATATTAAGTATTCCTCATTAACACTCTTATATTTAATATATGATGTATTTGCTGTACTGATTCTGACTTGATGAAAACTGAACATTGGTACTTTTACCTTGTTGCTTTATTATTGCTGTGTGAGATTGTAATGTACTTTAATAAATGGGTGTAATTTGGTAACATCACTAACATGTAGCCAAGTATGTGGGTAGCTGAGCTGACATATTTTTTTGCAGGGCTGTGTATCTTGCTTTCAAATTGTTCTGAGGTGCTAAACTGGGATATCAGAGAGTTGGAACTTGACTTTAATTTCAATAATCAAGATTAGTTGTGGTAATTTAGCCCAATTCCTTAAAAATGAAAACAAACTAAGTGTGGCATAGCTTAGGGTGTATTCTCTTCCACTTTTGTACTCATTAAACTAATTATGTATAAAGTTGTGATAATGTCTCATTTGAATCTATTTTGCCTGAACATTTCTTATCATAACTTAAATTAGTTGAGGAAAACACACCTACTAAAGAGTAATGGAGGGAATATCAATATTTGAGATGCTACGTGCCATTTGCCCTCTTGTAATCTTAAATTATATTCCCTCTGTTTTATAGGTGTTTCACTTTGACAAACAAAAATTTAGGAGGTTAGGTTGATATATAAGATAAAATAGTGGGGGTCAGTATGACAGTATATTCAAAAGCAAGGCATGTAAGAGGAGAGAAATTACTGAAAATAGGAGTGGGGACCATGAGAGGAGAGAGATATAGTATTAACAAGTAGAAGCTTACCATAAATAATCGTGTAGCGCTAAAGAAAGCCCGATCTAGGCAAGTGCAACACTGAAAAAAAGGCGATATATAGTAAAATGTTGTATGTTTTCATAGTCATGTCATTCTGCTAGTGGATAACTTATTTTTTTACACTGAACTTTTTTGCAGATACGAAGAGTATGGTAGCAGCTGGATTCACTGCATTATCGTCTACTAAATATGATCTTGTGAATGCAGTCAATGGAAAGAAGCAAATGCGTGTCTTATGTGTAGGTCATGGTGGAGGAAGTTTACCATTATTTATTGCTTCTAAAATTCAAGGTAGATTGATAAATTCCCTCCTTTTCAGGTTCTTGATGTATTTCAATTGTTTTCTCCTTAAAATGTTAAAACCTCTATGAATTAGTATCATGTATATCCATGCATCTATACCCACCACATACACTAACAGTCTTACACCCACCTTTTTTTTACATGCAAAATGTCAAATTTGTCGTAATTTGTATTTTTGTGATTATGAAGAGGTCAAACCAAATTGTATAGTATAGGTCATTTGATCCAAAAGTTTAATCTAAGCTTGATTGGAAGAGTAAACTCAAATGCATAGTAAACTAAAATTTAATAGAATTTGTTTCTGCGACATATGTTGTTTTAACTATTATTGACTTATAAATGCTTGCAAACTGCAAAGTTGCTAGGTATTGCTTATGCAAATCTGTAGATGATCTTATCAATCTCAATCACGATACTGAACTTGTTAGTTGTGACTGCTTTATCGGCTTTTGGTGCGGGCACATGTATGAATTCATGAAGATTAGGGGCAGGCCCTTCTTAGGAGTTCAGATCACTTATTACATTGAAGGTACAGAGACATTGTGTTTCTGTGCAGGAAGATAAAATTTCGGGGAGAAGATAATTTGGTGAAAATTATAATTCCTCCATTTTTTACTTGCCACACTTTAGTAATGTACTATCCACATAACTTCAATTACATATCGTGATTTATACTTGTAAGAAATTCAGTCGTATGGGATCTTAATGTATATTTTATATAATCTAATTTTATGATTTTTACAAATGCATAATTAAAGATGTAAACAGTTAGAGACTTAAAGCTATGCATTGGCAAACATGAAAATAAAAATTGTAGCAAGTAAAAAAATAAAATAAAAGAGGAGCAAGTATAATACAGTGTTTTCACTATTGTGATTTGCTTCCTGCTTCTTTAACGGTCTTATTCGCTTACCATTGTTAGGCAGTAGCACATTAGTATGGAAAGGTGGCTGATAAGAAAAGTCCACATTCTTCGTTGGTTTCCTGAGATGGCTGTTTTTCTTCAACCCTTCAGACTTCTTTAATGCTAACATCTGCCTGTATCTGATTCGTAGAGGAAAAGTCATGTAACTAGATTCCTGAGATGGCTGTTTTCCACATTAGTTAGAGACTTAAATGTCATGTAACTAGATTCTATTTCTTCTCTTGGGAGTTGAGTGAAACAATGTTTACTAAAATTCTAACCTGCCTATTATTATACTTTTAGCTAAGCAAATGCTGTTATGCATGCCCTTGTACTCTAAAGAGTCTAAGCATCGATTGATGAGGGTTTTCCACGTATCTTGGCTTTGTTGCTGGACATTTAACTTTAAACTTTTGTTTAGATCAGATAAGTATATCTCATCTGAACAGTTTGGTTACTAGTCAAAAGTCTCAGTTTGTAATCAGGAATTGAACATGCCCTTTTTTCAACTGAAGAAAAGAAACAGTGTTGATTCCTGAAAGTTATTTTTCTAAGTATCTGGAAACGTCTGTATTACATGTTAATTTTGGATTTGAATGTCTTAAAGCATTTAAGCACTTTTTCAATGATTATTGTGGTCATGTGGGTAATTAAAACACATACAGAAGTTTCTGATGACTCTTTTCTTCCTGTGGATGTTTAGGTGCTGTTATTGACATTGTTGAAATAGACCCTCTTGTTATTTCAACTTCAATTCATGCAATGGGCTTTCCATCATTTTCAGTTGCAGTTCCTTCAGGTTGCCATGCTCTTTCAAAACCCAATACAATGGATGAAGTCCTATGGAAAGGTGTCCATGAGAGACTTTTCCTCTACGAATCAGATGTTGAGAAGTTCATTCTCAACACAGAAAATGTGTATGACATTATCTTTATTGATGCATATGATGGAAATGATATTTTTCCTCGCAAGCTATGGGACCCAGATTCTCCATTCCTTTTAGCCCTTGGCAGTAAACTCAATCCTTGTCATGGCACCGTTGTAGTGAATCTTCATTCTGATGATGATGTGAGTGCTGATGCACCAGTTGCTGCTCTCCACCAGCTAGTTCTGCCTATGAGGAAATATGTTTCTAGAGTCTGCCAAGCATACAAGGATATGTTGGTGGGTAAAGAAAGTTCATCTAGTAACAAACAACTTCCTGGAGTGGGGTTCACTATTTCAGTTCCTTGGGTGTGCAACACAACCCTCGTTCTGTGTAGAGGTTTTGGTGTGGATGCTGGAAGCTTGGACCAAGATTCGGTTTTGAGTTCCCTCATGTCCAAATCTCTTGAAGTAGACAAGGATTTAAACATGCCATTTTCATGTTTACAGTATATAAATAGAAGTTTTCGTCTGCGTGGTTGATATCTTAGATGCGTTGGAAAAATAAACTTTTTCATTGTGGAATGTTTGTGAGGTTTTCCAGTGACACAAACACATTCTCCCTAGATTTTGCCGGCAAGCTGGTTTTGTTGCTTGCAGATTATGAGATTGTGTGGCAGACTTGGTAATCATCATGAAGAAATCGAACACATGCACCAAAGGTTTGAAATCTCTTCTAATTATGCTGTTTATGCTGAGTCTGCTCTTGTCAGGATCTTGTAATTGGGAACTCAGAGCACTTAGCATTCATATATTTAATTAATTGCTCAAATAATCAAGCACCTATGACCTATGCTTTTAGTACTCATTGCTGTTCAGCACTTCAGCCTTTGAAGAAGACTGCATTGGACATTTAGTTTTGCTCAAATTACTGAATTTGTGCAGTGAAACTCTCCACAAGTTGGTCTTCTTTTACCTTGCATGCCATTACTGCTAATAGGCTGCAGTTATCTTGATGCATTGTTAATTAATGTTATGTATGCATCATTTCTGTTCACAACTGGATTTGTGAGCCGTCATATTTATTAATCTGATTGAATGGGATGGTATTTCCATGCAGAAGCTCTTCAACTGAGATCTTTAATTAGTTAATTCTTGTTTTGTTTTTCCTTTTAAAAAATTTTGATCTATTTTTTAGTGTAAAGATCTTTGAGAAGTTGATGGTCTATGAACTTGCTCATTTGAGAATGCATATGGCCGATATAGCATATAGGTACTTTAGCTTCCCTCTCTATCCTTGTATGAATTGCAACATTTGTTTTATTGCTTTGTCCTAAAATTAGATTACTTAAAATTGTTAACTTTTAAAGCCTCATTTATCATCTTATGAGTAATAATAGTTTGGGTCACTAACTCTCACATTCAATAAAAATGATCCACCCCGTAACCACCCCTTCCCTTCCCCCAACCTTGAAACTACCCCCCTCCCCAGCCCCACACCCGAAACCACCCCCTCCTTTCCCCCCAACCTCGAAACTACCTCCCTCCCTTTCCCCCACCTCTGAAACCACCCCCTACCTTTCCCCCACCTCTGAAACCACCCTATACCCCCACCCTCGAAACCACCTTAAATACTAAACCCCCACCTCCAAATAAACCCTAAACCAATTATTTTGCACTCACCAGCATAGGGGGTGGAGGGAGATGGGGTCGCCAACGTAAGGAGAGGAGAAACATGGTGTTGGAGGCAAAAGATGGTGGGTTGCCAGATGTGTTTAAAGGAAGAAGAGAGAAAAGGTTAAAAGGGAGGATAGAGAAAAAAGTAGAAACCAATTAACATGCGACATGTTACAATCTTTTTAAAAAATTCTTTGTAATTTTTAACCTTTTTATTATTAAGTCACTGGTCATCTAGGCATATTAAAATGTTACAATCTTTTTAAAAAATTCTTTGTTATTTTTAACCTTTTTATTAGGTCACCAGTTATTTGGGCATATTAATAGAAAATAGTATGAGGATCCTATAAAATTGGATTATTCTATAATAATTGAAAAATAGTGCGTTTTTGTATGCGGTTGGTCACACCATGTGTCCGTTTGCATAATAACAAAAAAGTAACCCTTAAAGCACCGACCGAGTAACCTTTATAATACTGACCGAGTAACCATTATAACACTGATCGAGTATCTCATAACACTGACTAAGTAATCGTATAACGAATAAACACATGTAAAATTGATGGAGTAACCAGTACTCAAGTCTTATAACACTAATGAAATACTAATTCCGATTTTATTAGTTAACACATTTTGACTTTAGCACTATTGACATACCTCCATTTGACCATATTTTGGGATTTATATGTAAGTAAAAATATAGTCAAGTGGGATCTTGTTGAATTTATCACAATATATATTTTCAAAATATCGGTGCTTGAATTCGATCTATGTACAACTTCCCAACAATCAACGGAACTGGATGTAACTTTTTATTATTTTTGCTTATCGGTAATTAAAGATACTAGTTTTGTGTCCCGTGCGATGCCCGGGTTGTTTATTGAAGATAAATTTTTAATCTATATGTCAAATTTGTAAATATATCATCGATACAAAATTAGTTAGGAATTGATGTGCTTTTATTACAATTTGTTATATTCAATTATATCGAAATTTTTTTAACAAAATTATAATTCAATTTGTACCTCTGAAATATTGGTATTTTATTGAAAATAAAACTCTAAACTAATAATTTTATCCTAAAATTATATCCAAATAGAATTTTAAATTAACTTTTTAATCGTCTATTGAAATCTATATAACGTGGCGCGTCATTTGGCGAAAAATTAAAACGGCAAGTGTCGATGCCTCGTGACCTGGCTAAAAGTTTAGCTTTTGAAAAAAAAATTGCGAATTGCGATACCGTCCATACCGACAATGCATGGTTCGTGCAGGCGGATGCACGATCCACATGGTGCATCTTTTCCAAAAAAAGCGGAAAGAACATTGCATAGAAATATAAAGAACATTTAGTTTAAGTGAAAAGAACATATTATAGAATTGTAAAGAACATTGTATAGAAATGTAAAGAACATTTCGTTAAAGTGCAAAGAACATGTTATAAAATTGTAAAGAACATAACGTGCAATTAAATAATGTTCTTTATCTTCATGTTCTTTGATTGTCAGAATAATATACTTTTATTTGTGACATATGTTAATTGTTTAATTTGAAATGTTCTTTGAATTTTGTCTTTAGATTATGGTGGTTGAATAAAAATAATGTTCATTACATTATATTATCATTAAAGGTGATAAAAAATTCGGGTCGGGCTGGGCTATAACATAATATCTCGTGTTCAAAAAACTCGAAAAATGTAGTGGGTTTTTCGGCTTTTTTTCGGGCCGAGTTTGGATTTTTTAACTAAAAATGCATTTTTAGGCTTGTCTAAACCTGCCTATTTTCGGGTTGGATCGGGTCGGGTCGGGTTTGGTCGGGCCGAAGTTGATCACCTCTAATTATCATGTTTTCAATTAATATTACGGATGTTCTTTAGATATATATATAAAGAACGTGAAGTTGGATGTTTTTTTTACAAAATAGGTATAGGTTCTTTATAAAACAACTATATGTTCTTTACAATACAACTCTAATTTGGATTTTTGGCTTTTTTTTGGGCCGAGTTTGGATTTTTTAACTAAAAATGCATTTTTAGGCTCGTCTAAACCCGCCCTATTTTCGGGTTGGATTGGTCTGGGCCGGGTAGGGTCGGGCCGAAGTTGATCACCTCTAATTATCATGTTTTTAATTAATATTACGGATGTTCTTTAAATATATATAAAGAACATGAAGTTGGATGTTTTTTTTACAAAATAGGTATATGTTCTTTATAAAACAACTATATGTTCATTACAATACAACTATATGTGATTTTCTTTATCAAAAAGCTATATGTTCTTTACAAAAAAAATGTATGTTCTTTACTGAACAACGGAATGTTCATTCCGCGTTTTTAAAGAGAAAACGAATGCACGGAGCATCGTGCATCCGCCTCCATAGAAAAAATTTCATCCATACCGATGCATAAACCTTTAAACCCCAATTCACCAATTAATCGAACGTTCAACAACAAAAACCCTTCTCTTTTCCTTTCTCTTCCCCCCCCCCCCCCCCCCCCCCAAAAAAAAAAAAAAAAATTAAAATAAAATCAATGGCATCAAACAGCGGAAGAAAGAGAATCAGCGACGGCAGCAACAATGGCGAAGGCATACTAGCCAGAGTCACAAGCACAGTTTCAGATTCGCCCATCTACCAAAAAGGTGTTGAAACTGCTACCAAAACTGCTGACATCACCAAGAAACTTTTCAAGAGCACCGGGAAAGCTGCTTGGATCGTCGGCACCACTTTCCTCGTCCTCGCTCTTCCACTCATCATCGAACTTGAGCGCGACGGTCAAATTGATGCTATGGAACTTCAGCAGGCTAGCCTTCTTGGCACCCCTCCTCCTGCCGCCCATTAAATTTATCTGGGTTTTCTGGGATTTTTGGGTTTTAGGGTTTTAATTTATGGTTATAAATTTATCAACTTTATTGAATTTTATGTTCTGTTACGAATTTGTTGTTTGAAATTTTAAATGGGTTTTTGTTTCTATAATTTGGGTTTCTTTCTATGTTTTTACTTTCTTTGCTGATTGATGTGAATTGCTAATCTGTGATGATCCAAAATGAAATTTTGGATTTTATATTGAATAAAGGTTTTCTGATTTTGATTGTAGAGAGTTAGGTGTTCTGGCTTTTTAAGGGTTTAATTTAGATTCATTGTTATGCAATGAATTTATTATTAATTTATCATGAATGGTTTTTCGTTCTCTACTTTGGGTTCATTTTTGCTTTGCTGGTTGATGAGAATTGCTGATGAAATTGTTCTGATTTTGATTGCAGAGGGGTATGTTAGGGTTTTGGACTTTGTTTGATTTTAATGAGTTTTTCCGGAATTAAACTTTCATTGTTATTGTCTTAGGTTGTGTATTCTACAGGATGACAATGAAACTTTACTTGTTTGCGTAATTGTTGTAGGTAATGTGTAAATAAATGAAGGTGATATGCTTGTTTTTGGTTACCATATATACAAGATTTGATCTTTTGATTCATTATATATCGGTTTCCTGTTTTGATGTTGAGGAAGGTTTTTGTTATTGTGGTGACATGGATGGTGAGATTAAGGGGATAATTTCCTATGGGAAGAGAAGTGTGGAACTCTGTTTTTCCTGTTTGCCCGTCTAGATTTAAAGTATTTTGATATTCTCATTTAGATTTTTTGACTTCTCATACCTCACAAGGTACTTTGATTTTGTTTGCAACGAGCATTAAGTTTTAAAAGCAGTGTAGCATAGGGTTCTTGTGTTGTATGCTATTTTTACTAGGGAAACTTCAAGTTTATAAATAATCTGATCATCGTAGTCCCTTGAACCCCCAAAATGCCTCCAAATGCTCCTTTATTGATTATTCTAACCGCCAATTCCATGTTTATAACTAACCTGTGTATCAAAGTCCCTTGAACCCAACATGCCTTCATATTATAACCTATTATTGCCAAATTGTCCCTTATCTCTGCCCCCATTATTTTAACTCCCTTTCCCCCTTCCCCCTTCTCATGTTGAACTGTTCTTCACAGGATAAGTCAGTTAGTTCCACTGTTAGTTGTATTCGCTTGAAAGCCATAAACCTTATTGCTTCTTCTTCAACAGTAGTTTATGCTATCATTCAGCCAATACTATAACACATTCAGAACTAGTTCAGGATGTGCAAGCAATTAAAGAGCAAAATTGAATGTCCTTGAGCAGACAAAACCCTCTAAATGAGAGGGAAAGTCCCACTCTACCATGCAGATGGCCTTCCAAGGGAAAGCACTTGATCCTTTGGAGCCCTTAACTGACATGTTCAAACTACACAATGTTTTGTACTCCTAAGCCCCAGAATCAGATACTTATCAGTTATCATAGATGTGTTTTACTTGTGGTGTTTCCATGTTTGTATTTGATCCATCTTGACATTGAGTGAGAAGCTCTAAATCTGAAGTCAGCAAAGTTCTTTCTGCAATTTGGCAATTTCTCCTTTTGACCTTATGATGTTTGAGGACTGGATTGATTTCTGGCATTAGTATTTACTTGCATGAATTCTGATGTCAATTTGCTTGCTTCCTGTTTGCTCTCCCATTTGTATCTGACTATGCTGTGACCTCTGGACCTAAATGTTCAGTGTGGAATCATCAGAAAGTGTAATCTTTTAAGTTTTGGGTTACATTCTTATAATCAGCAGATTTTATTTTATTTTTTTCCTGTCAGTTATCTTTTGCTGTATTCTGCATGATGGTGCTTGACTGGTTGTTCTTTGGAATTTTATGGCATCATCTTCAAAGTGCAAAGTTGCATATTTGCCACA